CTGAAATGGTTTGCCTAGGTAGTATGTAAGGTTAGATTATGTAGATGGGGTATATGAGTGCAATTATGGATGTGTTTCAGGATAATAGAGAAGACAGGGGGCGCCTGAGTGGTTCAGGGGATTGAGTGTCCAACTCTTGATTTTGGCTCAGGTCGTGATCTCATGGTTTATGGGATCGAGCCCTGCATTGGGCTCCATGCTGATGGCGCAGAGCCTGCTTGGGGTTCTCTCTCTCTCTCCCCCTCTCTCTGCCCCTCCCCTGCTTATGCGCTCACTCTCTCTCTCAAAATAAATAAAATAAACTTAAATAAAAAAGATAATAGAGAAGGGGAACCACCTTCTGCAAACTTGAGGTTGAATCACTACCTGCTCCCCACCTGCATCTGCCTTTTAAAAATGTTGTTTTCACTTTCAGTCTATCTGGCATTGACAACTGTTATCAGCAGTCTTTTAACTGGTATTTGGTGCGTAAACTGTACTTGAGTCTCTGTTAAGTCCTTGGTTTCATTTCTGTACTTTTTTTATTTGAGTGTAATTGACACACAATGTTACATTAGTTTCAGGTATACAACCTAGTGATTCAACAAGTTTATATATGCTGACCACAGTGTAGTCGCCATCTGTCACCATCACTCTTACAGTATCATTGACTATATTCCTTATTTTGTGCCATTTATTCACATGACTTGTTCATTCTATAACTGGAAGCTCTCCTTCACCCATTTTTGTCCATCCCCCAGTTCCCTCCCCTCTGGTAACTGTCAGTTTGTTCCTGGTGTCTATAGGTCTGATTCTGATTTTGTTTGTTTATTCATTTGTTTTTTTTTTTTTATTCACATGAGAGTGAAATCATATAGTATTTGTCTTTCTCTGTCTTATTTCACTTAGCATAATACCCTCTAGGGCCATACATGTTATTTATTGCAAATGGCACAATTTCATCCATTTTTATGGCTGTGTAATATTCTGTGTGTGTGTGTGTGTGTGTGTGTATACATATATACATATATATGTATATATACATACACACACTACATCTTCCTTATCCATTTGTCTATCGATGGACTCTTAGGTTGCTTCCATATCTTGGCTATTGTAAAGAATGCTGCAGTAAACATATGGTGCATATATCCTTTGGAATTAGTGTTTTTCTTTCTTTGGGTAAATACCCAGTAGTGAAATTATTGGATCATATGGTATTTCTGCTATTAATTTTTTGAGGAACCTCCATACCGTTTTGGAAGAGGCTCTGGTGGCAAACAATTAAGACTGTATTTAACTTTTTAATATTTCTTTTCTTAATTATTAAAGGCAAAGTGGGAAAAGACAGGACTGCTTAAGACCTGAAAAAAAAAAAAAACATTTTAAAAAGAAGGAGAGGAGTTCTTGGGTGGCTCAGTTGGTTGTGTCTGACTCTTGGTTTCGGCTTGGGTTATGATCTTGCAGTTTTGTGGGTTCAAACCCTGTGTCAATCTCTGCACTGATGGCATGGAGCCTGCTTGGGATTCACTGTCTCCTCTGTCTCCCTGCCCCTCCCCTACTTGTACTGTCTCTCTCAAAATAAATAAATAAACTTTTAAAAAATTTTTTAAAAAAAGAAAAAGTTTTAAATCTCAAAAGACCATTAATAGTAACAACAACAACAACAACAACAACAACAACAACAACAATGGAGCATCTGTGTAGAGGGTTAACATTTGAAGAATCTCGATGAAGGTATATGGAATTTCAGGGTACTAATCTTGCTACTTTTTAGTATGTTTGATATTTTTTTTCAAAACAAGCTACCAGTGTGTTTAATTTTAACACACACACACACACACACACACACACACACACACACACACAGAGTTTTTAAAAGGTTACCCAAAATAATCTCAGATGACCAACGGTCTTTTTCTAGATTATTGATGAAGAATAATTTTGGTATTAATGTCCCTCATGTGTCTGTTCTTCCTCCCCTGACTTGTCCAGCATTAATTGAATTTTAATTCAGGCTGAATTAAACACATCAGTAAGGAAAGGTCTTCCCACAAATCATCATAGCAGCTTTGTTCATTTGCACTTCTCTTTGCCGCATTTAAGTTGTCCAGTTTATTTCTCTCAACTTTGAAGTTTCTTTTCCATTAAAAGGTCACATTTGGGTTAATTATCCCAAATACACAATCTTTTGTAGAATCTTTTTTCCACTTTTCAAAACTGTTGAGTTATGGCCCTAATTAACTGTGTGGTTGCAATCTTATACTGTATTAAATGCTATCCTAAAAAGAAGAGATATTAGCAATAAGCAATGTCACTGACACTTGACACAGAGACTGACATACAATTAGTGCCCCATGACTATTTCTGGAACCAGTGATGGATGTGTCAATGGCTAACATTAATTACTTACAACTTATTGCGTCCTTAGACTAAGGACTTGCTCCGTATTCTTCATGAATTCTCACAACAGCTTCGTATGAGCCGTGCACCTCAGCACATACCTATTGTCAGTGTCCCCCAGCTCTCCCATATTAGCCCACCATAGAGAGGTACTCATCAAGCTGATAATGATGGACCAGTTACTGCTTTGGATTTTGTGCTGCTTGGGCAGTTTATTAGCTAAATGCTATTTTATTCACATTTAGCTAATAAAATAATAGAAGAGATCATGAGTACGTATAATAAAAAATAGATATCCAAACAGTAGTTTCCGTTTGACTTTGGAATATGTCATATGAATTTCTCAATGCAAATTAACTTTTCTGTATCCTCATAACAACTGGCAATCTTTAGAGATATGACTTAAGTGCTTTGGTCTTTGGATTCAAGAAGAGCCTTAGAAGTATCCTCTTAGACATTACATGCATACACACATAGACACACATATTTGATACTTTGTGTTCTATGTTTTATACACTACTTTACATTATATTTTTATATATGGTATATGGCATTGACATTTTAGAAATACAGTATTGTATTTTGGGAATATGATATGTTGTATTTTATTTGTCTTATACTGTTTTTCTCTAGTAAGTCTTGAGGTAAAAATTTTGGTTCACCAGGATATCTTTGCATCTGCCCAGCAGATATTTCCCCAGAAATATGCCCAGCATGTAGTAGGCACTTAATAAATGTTGTAATTAAAAAGCAGATGCTTCATACAACATAGTGACTATAGTTAACAACAATAACAAAAAAGCAAATGCTTTTCAATAAGACACTTATTGGGACCTAATTTTTGTTTGTAGGTTAGTGTTCTAGTTTAATTTAAATAGTCTTTACTAATATTTAGTGATTGGAAAAATCTTATATTTGCCTTTTTTTTTTTTTTTTTTTTTTTTTTTTAGGAAGAATCCCCAGCACAAGATAGAATATAGACATAGTACACATCCAGGTAAGTAATTTTACTTGAGTAAACTAAAAATGAAACTGTCAAATGATTCTCTTGTTGAACCTAGATGTAGTTTCCACTTATGTGAATTTTTTTTTATCTCTGCCTCCATGAATTTGCTGATTTTAATGATTTTTCTTAGATGAAAAATAGTGATAAATTTTTTATGTAGCAGAGGTTTTCTACAATCACTGCATAACAATGTATATGTATCCTTGTATCTGTTTTGATTCTTTTGTTTGCCAGTACCTGAAAACATGATCTCAAACTAGCCTAAATGGTAATGAGAACTTCCTGACTTCTTTAAGTGAAAAATCCAGAAGTAGAGATGGATTTAGATAAGATTTACTGCTTTGACTCATTAGTAATGTCAATATTATCACCACTGACCCAATATCCTTTCATCATTCTGTCTTGAGAGGCGTCATTATTATCCTAAGACTGGCTCCTGTCCCAACGAAGGAACTATGTGCATCCTTATTCAGCACCCATGTTTATATGTAAGGAGAGAGAGAGGATGAATAACTTTAGCTCTCACTGTTCCTACGAAGAATCAGGAAATTCGCTTTTTTTACTGGTTTAGATCACATTCTTACTCTTGGACCAATCACTATGACCACTGATTAGTTTGTACCATCCCTGGAACCAAGATAGGGTCACTGCAGGGATCCCCAACAGAAACTAAAGTTTTGGAAGAAGGAGAGGGAGGGAGGACAGATACCAGAGAAGCAATGATCAAGTGTCCTTCAGTCCTAGGTACAGCAGTTCTATTTTACCTTCTCTTTCCCCTGCTTCCAAACCCTAATATTTTTTACCTTTAACAGATTCTGCCTTCTTCATATCATTTATATAGTGCAGAGGCCAATTCAGCATACAGTATTTCTGCCCACAGAGTGAGAGAATAAAATGCATACTATACAGGCTATGACCCCATGCACTTGTGTGTGCGTAAACATAACCACCTTGTAACCAAGTGATGAAAATAATGAATTTCACCATAAGAGAATTCCACTTGAAATTTCTCATTGAAACACACTTTCATGCTTTAGTACTCCAGACACAAATAACTCATTTTATCTGAGCTAATAGGGTATAGAGGTTATATGTTACACTTTTTTTTTTTACTGGGGCTATATCTAGTGATATAGCATGTATGGTGGTTAAATGAACTTTCCTTCCAGGAGTCATGTAATGTATAGCAATTAGAGCTATATTTCACTGACAAAGTTTAACACTGTCCCATGAAAAGGCATTTGACACATCTGTATTTTCATAGAAATAGGAACCATTTTCCTAAAAGTTATCAATATGCATCAGATGGCATAGTTAAAAATATCTGAATTTTCTTTGAAAAGTCTCTTTGGATTATTATTAGAGAATCTTCTGAAGGAAGACATATTTTTGCAACAACTATAAGAAAAACTTTTCATTGGAAAGACAGTTTTCTTAAAAAGTATAGATAGTTTTATTTTTAATCTACTTTCAAGGGTTGTTACATGGCAATGTAGTCAGAACATTCTTCCTGTTCTAAAACTTACAAATTAGGTTGTCTGGAGTATTTCAAATATTAAATTGAATGTTGGGGGGTCTCATTGTATTTCTTAACTTAGAGATATTTAACACTGAATTCTAACATCCTTGTTTTTCTCATCTCCCAAATCCTTAAAGTTTAACATCGCCCAAGTTCTTAATCATGTTTGTATACCTAATTTGTTGTACACTTACTTATTCATTTATTATGTCTTCCAAGTGAGCAGAGTTACAGAGATCCATGAGAACCAGTTCTGGCTCTATATGCTTGTGATGAGATGGTCTAAAATCTCCAAGGAAAGGGCAGGAGCACTTTCTAGTGGGACTTATCAGGGCAGACCATGATGTGGGAATTTATGCTAAGTTGTTCTTGAAATTGGCCTTGGTTGTATTTAAATCATCTTTGTCTCTTAACTTTGTGGTTGGTAGGTATAGGACATCCCAGTCAAAGTAAATAATAGATCAATCAAGGACATCTAGGTAGAAATGGTAAGTTGTGTGTGGAGTTAGTAAGTGGATCAGTTTAACTAACGTGGAGAGTTTCTGTAGTTACCGTGGATGATAATGAAAAGATATATCAAAGCCAGATCATAGAAGCTCTTGAAAGCTAGACCAAAGGTGTGGGTGCATTGGCAAATAATGGTGAGGCAGTATTTTATCCAAATCAAGCTTCTGACAATGAACAGTCTGAATTAGAGTGGGAGAAGTCTTCTGGGTGTTAATTAGGCAATTGAATAAAGGGCCAGAACTAGAGTGGCCACCATGAGAATGGAAAAATAGAATTGGATACAAGTGAGAGTTTGAAGGAAAAATCAGATCTGCCAACTAATTGGTTATGGTGTGGGGGCTGGAATGACATAAAGGAAATAATGATGACTCAGAATTATGATACAGTTTATCAGGTGACTGGGGATGACATTTACATATCGTAGAGATCAGGAGGAAGAACCATGTAGTTTTGTTTTGTTTTTTGTTTTTGTTTTGTTTTTTTGAGAGAGAAAGAAAGAAGGGCAGAGGGAGAGAGAAAAAGAACATCAAACAATCGTGAGGTCATGACCTGAGCCGAAATCAAGAGTTGGACACTTAACCCACTGAGCCACCCAGGCACCCCGTCTCCTTTTTTTAAAGTTTAAGCATGTTGAATTTGAGGTGGGGGTATCATAACTACACAATAAGACAATAAAATTTAATATAGTACCACTATTAAAATAACTGCGTTGAACTCTTACTATTTAACTTCTGATTTGTAGCACTCCTAGAACATTTCTGTCTGCAGAGTTCTTCCACACACGTAACAGTTTATGTAGTGCATTTTGTTTTCTGTAGGTTTGATGCTATCGTGTTAAACTTCTTACATATCTAATTGGCTTAAAATTTCACTAACTTTCCACACTTTTTTAAAGTGCTGGGGTTTTGGCACAAGATACTGAATGCAAGAGTAATCAGTGCCAGGAAAATTTTATTTTATACTTTCTTAGCTAACTTACCTGTTGAGATATTTAAAAGAAATTATCATTAGCATTTTGTCATCTGATTATTGAAGTCATTCTGGCTTTTATCATTATGTGATACGCATTATTCCGTGCTGTCAGTACCATTCGTGCCTGGAAATTTAGAATTTTCTACTGATAGCTATTTTAATATTTCTCTAGTTCTGCCACTGTATGCGCACATTTGCTTATATATGCTTTTTTCCTCAGAGGTAGAACCCAAAAGCTCTAAAAGCTATTGTGAAAATTAATGGAATTTAAATGAGATTATATAAACTGCTGCTTAGTGTGGGGAAAGCTGAGAGATTTGGGGATATGAAAAAGGCTAGTGCAATGGTATTTAAAAAAAGAAATTCATATATAATAAAGTAGATCAGAATGGTAAAGGAAAATAAAATCTGAAGAATTATTGATGTTAAGCTGTAAATCTGCTATGAGGCATCTGGCATCTTAGATCCTAACACCCGAAATCTGTGTGCAAAAATCAGCAGTTTGGAACAATCTTTTCTTTCTGTAAAACCAGCATTTCTTCCAACATGTATTTGACACTGTACTCTTCACTAGCTCTTCAGACTTATGTTCTTGGGGTAAGAGTTGACAATGAAATTTTAAACTGTAAGAGAAAGATTAGATACAAATTTAGGAATTGTCATTCTGATATCACACATTCCTCTGCATAAATAGAAAAGTCAGAAATTGCTGTAGCCTAATTCCAACCAGTTAATACCATGTTGTTTTAAACGTGTTAAGAGTTTGTTTCTTCCCTAACGGTGGTTATTTTCCATCATGGAAGTCTGATGTTACCCATCAATTTTTAAAAATAAGTGGCAGCCTCTTTCTCTTGTACTGCTTCATGCAGTCAAGCTGTCAGTCCATTCCTACATTTCATATTACTCACTGATCTGTAGAGAAAATGAAGATTTCTACTTTGGCCTTAAAATTAGAACTTCAGTTTTAAAATCAGAATTCAGAAAGGATTTTTGAAGTAATTTAATCAACATCCATTGACTCACAGATAAAAACATAAATTCCATTAAGCCATTAAGTTAAATGACTTGTTCATTTTTTATGGGCTTGTTGATGACCCAGATCTTTGGACTTCTACCCTCCCATCTGTCTAGCCTCTTTCTCTCACCATGCTGCTTTTTAAAGAGACTTTTTGTTGAATGAAGGGGATGGCCTATCACATAAAAACAGAAAACTAGCAGCAAGAAACTTCTAAGTGAAGGTAGAGGAAAAAATGACTTCTGAGTTCGCCTTGATTTGGAAGAAACAACCTCACTTCTTTTTTTTTTTTTTTTTTTTAATATTTATTTGTTTTGGAGAGAGAGACCGAGCATGAGTAGGGAGGGACGGAGAGAGCCAGAGACACAGAATCCGAAGCAGGCTCCAGGCTCTGAGCTGTCAGCACAATGCCCGACGCGGAGCTCGAACCCACAAGCCATGAGATGAGATCATAACCTGAGCTGAAGTCGGACGCTTAACTGACTGAGCCACCCAGGAGCCCCTAAACAAGCTCACGTCTGATTTCTCAGACACACTCAAGAATTATATTTCAAATCAGGTAGTTGTAATACAAGAAAATGCTACATATAGGCACTTATTTTTTCAAAAATGGCATTATGCTATTTAATTCTGTGGAAATTTAACTACAAAAAATAACACTACAAAAAATTATGTTTTGTTGTAGAGTAAACAGTTAAACAGCTACTGCTGTATCTCCTGTTAGTTTAGTTTAGTTTAGTTTAGCATGTTAATAAGCTTTTCACCAACCACGGCATTCTCTGGACAATACTGGAGTCTTAGCTTGGGATCTTCTGTGATGGGATTCCTCATCGAATGTTGCCTGGTTCTCTAGTCAACAAGCTTCCTTGTATGAGAAGCTTTCTTTGAAATTTCTGTATAGCAAACAGTGCTACTAGCGAGGTTTATGTGAACGTGACTACTTTCATCACTTTAAATCCAGATATCCAGATACTATACTGTGTTTCAGCTTGCCGGTTAGAGAATACATGCATGGGATTTTTTTCCCGCCTTGATTTCAGTGTTCTTCATATCCCTTTTGTATAAAAACTTACTAATTGTGTGGTAAAGATAGGCATTTTATTCCTAGGTTAGGTGGTAGCCATGTTTAGTTAAGAACCGGGCTTCTTGAGATTATTTCCATGATTCAGGAAATCATATAGTAATTCACATCAATAGGTGTGCTGATTCAGAGCATTTTCCAAATAAGTAAAGTTTCACTCTCTGCATGGACCAGTTACATCAAAAGGCAGAAACTGTACGTTTTCTAAGAACACCTTCAGCAATTAAAAAAAAAAAAAAGTAGGTGTCCATCTAGATGGCATTTACACTGTAGAATATTTATTTTTATTTATTTTTTAGATGTCTATTTATTTTGAGAGAAAGGGAGAGAGAGCATGTGTGCAAGTGGAGGGGGTGGTGGGGCAGAGAGGGGAGAGATAGAGAACCCTAAGCGGGCTCTGAGCTGTTAGTATGGAGCCCGATGCAGGGCTGTCTCACAAACCATGAGATCATGACCTGAGCTGAAATCAAGAGTCAGACACTTAACCAACTGAGCCACCCAGGTGCCCCTACACTATGGAATATTTAAAGTCATGAATTAATTGGCTAAGGAGGGTCCATTATAATTGATTCCAGAAAGATAATCACATGTCAGCATTTAAAACCCTGTTAAGAAGTATGGACATGACACTACTAACAAAAGACATAGAGCTGGATTCTAGAGCTGAGTTTGACTCTTCAGGTGCTTTAACTTAAAGCACAAAATACCTGTTCATGTGAAGTAAAATGGATGAAATTTGACTACCAGCTACTTGGAGTTCTGTTACAGATTTTTTTTTTTTTAGATTCTGAACCTCCTATTAAAAGAATATGAGTGTAATGTTTATGTAAATGACAACTTGATAGATGTAAACAATTTTTTGAGGAAACAAATAATATGGCCTATTGCTCAAGAAATGAGCCTGCCCAATAAGTTGCTAAAGATTTCCAGGGTTCATTGAAGCTTAAAGCCCCTTCAATTAGCAGGATTTAAATAAAAGTCTTTATTGTAATTCATTGTATAGACAGGTTAGTGATAAAAGTGTAGGTTATAATATGAAGGATTTCTGTAAAACTAAAGGTGTTCAGCAGTTGATTTGTTCATTCATATATTCAACAAATATACATATTAAGTGTCTTCTATATGTTAGGCACTGTTCCAAGAGCTGAGGATACAATGGAGGCAAAGTCTTGCTCTTGTAGAAGTTTACAAAGGTGGGCACTGTACATGTAAACAACTATATGATGTCACGTAGTGATAACTGCTAAGAAGAAAAGTTATGTAAGAGGACAGACAGAATGACAAGGGTGTGTGTGGTGGGAGGCAGGTGCCATTTTGGGTAGGATGGTAAACAGACTCTGAAAATTTGATATTAGAGCAGAGACTTGGAGGAGAGAATAAGAGAGGTGATTATCTCAGGGAAGAGCATGCTAGTCAAGGGGAAGAGTGACTCCAAAAGCCCTGGAGATGATCCTGCTTGTACTGTTCAAGGAGTAGTAGAGAAAGGGTAGAACTCAAACAAAGCGAGTAAGTGAAGAGTGGCAGATGAGATCAGAAAAGCTAGCTGTGGGCCAGTTGTGTAGGGTCTTAAGGCCAGGACCTATACACTTGATCTTAGCCAAAAGGCCAAGAAGCAATAGAGGCCAGGACCTATAAGTAAGGACTTTGGTTTTAATTCAGAGTGAGATAGAAAGCTATTGGAAGGTTTTCTGGCTCCTCTGTGGAGAATAGACAAGAGTGGATGCCAGAAACCAGTTGGGTGAACATTGGAACTGGTTGAAAAAAGAAGATGATGGTATGGGGACCAGAGTATGGAGTAGATGTAGTGAGAAGTGGCAGATAGATTTTGATGGCAGAGTCAATAGGATCTCTTAACATATTGGATATTGGGTTTTCAGTGGGGGATATTCAAGGATGACTCCAAGATTTCTTGGAGAAGGTCAAGGTTGGAGAAGTCATATACTAAGACTGATAAGAGAAAGGATTTGGGTGAAGCACCTCAAGAGTTGTGTTCTGGGAATATGTTTTGGATGCCTGTTAGTTATGCAAGTAGAGAGAGTATATAGGCAGTGAGATAAAGGAGCCTGGAATTCAGGTGTTGGTCAGGGCTTAGGATATACATTTGGGAATTTAGGGTATAAGACTGGAGTATGTTAGAGAAGAGGAACAGCCAATAAAGCAGGAGGAGAACTTGAAGTTGTTTCAGCTTTATGTATGTTTCTCTTATAAATCTTCAGGGTAATTTCTGAATCTGAAAGGAAATGCTTTGCTGAGATGTCACTAGTTATGTATATGAAATACTTCCAAAGCAGAATGGCCAAGAAGAGTATTGATGTTCTTCCCTCCTCCCTCCCTCCTTTTGCCATCTGCAAACTGCCCTCTAAATGTTTTTTAAATGTTTTCTATCATAAAAGTTATATGGGGAGTTGAGATTAGCTAGATGTAAAACATGCCCTCAGGATGCTTACAGGGGATGAGAAATGTATACAAATAAATACAGTGCTACATTTCCCTTAAGGGACTGGTGTGCTTCTTATGCTAATGAGCACTGTGCAAATCATTATGTAGCCTTTTTAGCCTTGGCTACCAAGAAACTTGGGGAGAAACCTGATGCTCAATTTATAATAATTATGTTAAAAATGAAGGTTGACATGTTTACATTCTGGTTTTTGTGTTCTTAGTTTCTACTTTCATTTGTATTTTTATGACCTCATTAATATAAGCTGGCTCAAATCCTCTCTGGAAATGAATAGCGATATTAAGAAAAATGTAAATGTCCGGGCTATGGAAGTTAAGAGGACAGATAAATTACCTTACTTTTTTGTGTTTTTTGTGTTTTTTAACTGTCTATTGCATGTGAACATTTTAGGAAGAGGTGAAGTAAAGCATATACAGAAGTACAAACAATAATATTTTTAACTCCTCCATTTGGTGTTCACGCAGGGATTGTCCTCTGCCATCCATAGATTTCCAGAGAGAATCTTCCTACTTGTTTCTTAAATGCTCCACATCATCCTAGGGAGCTTATCTTAAAATAAGCCTGTTGCTTGCAATGAAAATAAAAAAGTGGGATGAGGGAAGAAATGGATTTCGAGATGGAAAAATTCTATTATAATTCTGGTATTATTTAGAAACCTATAAATTCTAATGGTGTTACCATGGTCATCCTGATATTTTCAGCAATCCCAGTCACTGAAACATGAACTGGAAGATCTATAAAACTAAACTTTACAAAATGTGTAGACTCATATTTTCTCATTTGATCACAGATTGTGCCAGCTTTACTGTGATAACAGTCCCCAAATTTCAGCGCCTCACAACAATAAATAGGTGTATTTCTCCTTCGTGTGTCCCATGTGTGTTCTCATCCTGGAAGCCAAGCTAAAGGATCAGCCTGTATCTAGCATGAGGGAGACTGTGGCAGAGGGAAAATGGCTGCAGCAGAAACTACAGAAAGGCTCTTAAAGCTTCTCCTTGGAAGTGACACACACCATTTCCACCTACTTTTCTTTGGCAAGTCTGATGTCAGTGGGGTGGTTAAATATAATCATATGACAGGGATGGACAGTAAATAACTGGGACAAAAATACATTCTACCGCCCCAGAGGGTAGGAGAGCATAAATATGATTATGATATTATTATTTTATTTACTTATTTATTTTGAGAGAGAGAGAGTTTAGGGGAAAGGCAGAGAGAAGGAGAGAGAATCCCAGGTAGGCTTGGGAGGCTCAATCCTTATTTATTTTGAGAGAGAGAGAGAGTAGGGGAAAGGCAGAGAGAAGGAGAGAGAATCCAGGTAGCATGGAGCCCAGTGCAAGGTTCGAACTCACAAACCATAGGATCATGACCTGAGCTGAAATCAAGAGTCAGACACGTAACCAACTGAGTCACCCAGGCATGCTTGATTATATTATTAAGGAACCATTATTAGGAATCTCACAGGACATTTAAAATTTTTTTAATTTATTTTTTAATTTTTTAATGTTTATTGAGAGAGAGAGACAGAGTGCAAGTGGGGAAGGGGCAGAGAAAGAGGGAGACATAGAATCTGAAGCAGCCTCCAGGCTCTGAGCTGTCATCACAGAGCCCAAGGTGGAGCTTGAACCCACGAACTGTGAGATCATGACCTGAGCCAGAGTCGGACACTCAACTGACTGAGCTACCCAGGTGCCCTCACAGGACATTTTAGTTTCAGGATCCTCTTGGTAGGAAGAGTTAGAATTAAACAAATGTTTTTTAAAAAGTTAGAATTCTAACAAAGAATAATTTTAGCCCTCTTTCTAGAAATTTGTGGTGGTTAGCGATGTCTTAAGTAACAATACTTCTTGTCAGAGAAAGACATTTTATAGTTAGATATCTCTACTCTCAGGTTTGAGTGGTGATTGATCTGTTGTGTACCGAAAAAAAATTTTTTTTTTTTTTCAGTGAGGAGCATATCAGATGAAGATAGTGATAATGTTGGGCAATCCAATGAGTATGACCTCAATGACCGTTTTCTAGATGATGAGGAAGAAGAATATGAGCCAACAGATGAAGATTCTGACTGGGAACCAGGGCAGGAAGACCAAGAGAAGGAAGATATGGAAGAGCTTTTGAAAGAAGCAAAAAAATTTATGAAAAGGAAAAAGTAACTTTTTTTCTGTGCTAATATATGGCTCATATTGTTCTTTCTGGAAAAAATTCAGGAACTAAGGAGGCACTTAAGCGATAATTGTTTTCCTTCTTTTTATAGTTATGAGTTTATTATTGACTCTTTGCAAATGAAACATTGATAGGTCAACCTTCATGCAGTGGATGGAATTTGTTTTGTTGCCTTGCTTTTTCTATCCTATTTAAAGCATCTGGAAATAGGAAGCAGAGAGTTAAACAGAAACAATTGATATTTTTTTCATTTACTTTGTGTGTTGGTAATAAAAAGTAAAAGCCATAGGTTGCACAAAGTTTGGCCTTGTTTCTTTTTTCCAAAGATTCTACCTTTATAGAATACTAGGCAAGCATAACTAGGCAAATTACATCATGGGTGGGAAAGCATGCCTCTTTCATTGCTATTGCAGTAATTCTTCAAGCAGAACCAGGCTTTAAAAAGTGACAGCCATCATATAATGGCTGTTATTTTTTCTAGTACCCTGGATATGAGCTTTACAATTTCATTTGCTACTTTTATGCTTTGAAACTTGGGGAAATTAGTACCAAATGGATACTGAAAATAGATTCAACTAGACTATCGAAATGTTCACCATGCAGGGAATGTTATTTTGTCCCCCGTATCTGTAATTTACTGTATGTCTGAACTTGAAAGTAGAAAAAACCAAAGGATTTGACGGTTTTGGGTTTTTTTTCAAACCTGAAGTCCTGCCTGATTATTTTAACTCTCAATGTTCTTTCATTACATTAAAAGATATAGAAATGATTTTTAACCATAATTTTCTCAAATGACGTTAGTTCTTTTTCCTCAGATGAAAGCAGCAAGTTGTCTGCTAGTGTTCAAGATTCTGGCCTTTTATTTCAAGAAGAACCCCTTTATTCTCCAGTTTTATGAAGTATATCTCTGTTCTCAAACAACTTTAAGCCCTGTAGTACTCTTCATTTTAGGTGACTTAGAATTTTTGAAATACAGTTTAGAATCTTTAATAGCAGTTGGGTATCCGAACACGGCAGTAGGCATAGTATTGAAATCATAAATCACTAGACCAAAAGTATCCTTGTTAAATACTAATATTTTCTATTCTAAAAGAACCTAGAAATTTATATCTTAAAAAAGCAAGACAGATTTATAATTGTTCTTAGTGTTTTTGAATGTCTTTCCAAGTTAATTATGTAATATTAAAATTAATTTAAGCTGACCAGGACAAGATAAATGTTTCTTTAGGCTATTATTACCTATTATTCTGACTTTGCCTTTGTTATTTAATAACTCATTTTTCCCTTCTAATGTCCCTTTAGTCTCGGGAGCTTGACAGATCTGTGAAAAAAAACCTTTTGACTTATTCTCATCCCTGCATTGACTCAATCCTTAAAGTGTTTTTTAATCCACTCATAGATAAATCCCAAAGGAATTGAGAACGTGTTCACATAAAAACTTGTACGCAATGTCCACAGAGGCATTATTTATAATGGTCAAAAAATGGAAACACTTAAATGCTCATCAGCTAATGAATGGATGAACAAAATGTGGCATATCTCTATAGTGGAATATTTTTTGGCTATGAAAAAAACTGAAGGATTGATAAATGCTATAACATACCTGAAAATGTTGTGCTAATTGAAAGAAGCCAGACAAAAAAGGCCACATATCATATGAACTCGTTTGTATGAAATACCCCAAACAGGCAAATCCGTGGAAAGTAGATGAGTGGTTGCCAGGGGCTGGAGGAGGTGGGGACAGAGGGTGACTGCTAATGGGTACAGGGTCTCTTTATGGTTGTTAAAAATGTTCTAAAGTTAGTGTTGATGGTTGCACGATTCTATAAATATACTAAAACCCACCAAATTGTACACTCTCAAAGGTGGATTTTATGGTATGGGGTTTATGTATTTCAATAAAGCTGCTATAAAAAGAGAATGTAAGAGGTGACACTAGTCTTTCAGAAAGAAGAAAGCATTAATGTCAGAATGTGTTCTTGGCAATAGTGTAGTAGCTCATGGTAGCTGTTTTTTAAGGATAATTTGATGTGGCTTACCTACTCATCCTGAAGACACTAATGAGTATAACATATCTCTCTCTCTGTCTATCTATAACTCAGTTGACTAGAGTGTGGTGTAAATTTGACACTCACAATTGGATTATATTTAAATTTGTGATTTACAAAATAGAGGGAAAACTGATGACATTAGCTTGTCAGTGGGCTCAGGAGCAAGAGCAATGTTAACAAAAACTTGGTTCTTTAAAAGTAATTGCTGTCCCAGGGCTCCTGGGTGGCTCAGTCGGTTAAGCGTCGGACTTTGGCTCAGGTCATGATCTTGCGGTTCGTGAGTTCGAGCCCCATGTTAGGCTCTGTGCTGACAGCTTGGAGCCTGGAACCTGCTTTGGATTCTGTGTCTCCCTTTCTTACCATCCCTCTCCTGTTTGTGCTCTGTCTCTATCTTTTGCAAAAATAAATAAACATTAAAAATTTTTAAATAAATAAATAAATAAATAAATAAATAAATAAATAAATACATAAATAATTGCTGTCCCAAACAGTGTATAGGAGCTAACCCTCTCTATCATGTGGGTTCACAGAATTTAAACTATATCTGTGTCTCACATTATACATTTCTCACCAACGTGCTTAATTCTAAAAGCAAATGTTTTTTGTTGATTTCTTGGTGGGGGTGGGGTATTTCTGGGACCTTGGGAAGCTGAGACATGAAGATTTTCAGTGACCCCTGGACACTGATTCTGTTTTTGCCCCAGGTAGAGGATGGCCTTGTTGATACTATTGGTTTCTAGAGCTAGAAGATCCTAGTGGTTGTAAGCATTCATTACATGTAGTGAGAGCAAATAGATTGTGAGCATAATTTTCCAGAATGATGACATAAAGCTGAGAATAAATGGGCAATGACTTTCTTCCAGTTGATGTGTGCAGAGTTCAGTGTCACCAACATACCCCATGGTGGGAGGAAATGCATACTGACATCCTGCATCCAACCCTGCTCTGTGGGACCACGTTGTTCCTATAAAGTTCTCTTTCTTGAGTAGGAATCTCTAATGGGTGTGTGTGTGTGCGCATGTGTGTGTGCGTGTGTGTGTGTGTGTGTGTGCGTCCTTCTGCCAATCTGCAACCATACTCAGCTCCTCTACAATAGATATTGAGAGAAAATAAAGATTCATTACTGCTGGCATTATTACTGGCTATCCTAATATAATGTACATAATAAACTTTAGTATCATAAAGAACCGCAGTTGTGTTCTGTTGGGCCCAACACCCTGTCTTAGGTGTTGGTGATTCAAAGAAGAATAGCATAGAATCCCTATTTCAATGTGCTTACGATTGGTCTACTCAGAAAGATAGAATATACTCATTCAGTAATGACTACTGAATAATATGGAGGTTACAAGGGAGAAAAAGACCATGGGGTCTATAGTCACAGAGCTTACAGAGGCAGTGAGACAATTACCCAAAAAACAACAGAATGTGACTAGTCAGAGAAGGGCATGCTGGATTATAATTTAAGCATCTTGTCTTGCTGCATATTGAAATATAGTCTCAATCTTGAAGAAAAGCCTTTGTATGATGGAGTTGCAAGCTGAGTTGGTAGATTTTTTCATGGAAAACAATTTTTACTTGAAAGAATTATAGGCAGATATGCTACAGTTATTCAAACTTGAGTATTTGACAGACATTTCCTCAAAAATGTACTAAGTGGGCCTGTTTTTCAAGGAAAACAACCAACAGTATTGGTTATAATTGTAAAATAATAAGCTTTCAAGCAAAAATTAGAAATTTGGAAAATCTATATTTGTCACTATGAGCTTGATAGCTTCCCAAAGCTTTAAAAACTGTTATCATGGTATTGTTAGTAATGTAATATCATATAATGCTCTTAAGGCATTAGAGAGATTTACAAAAGTGTAAAACATTGCCACTCATCTTAATAAATTAAAAAATAAACCTAATTGTTTTTCATAAAATACATAAAATACATTTCATAAAATACATTTTCATAAAATACATTTCATAAAATACAAAATAAATAGGTTTGTTGTTTTCAAATGAATTAGTAAATGTTTTAAATTTCTCAATTATAATTTCCAAAGTGATATATAGCTATAGGTATGACCCTCATAAACAAAAGCTCTTTGGGGTCCTTACTAATCTTTATGAGTAAAAGAAGTCCTAAGGCTCAAAATTTTGAGAGCCACTCAATTATATCAGTGTACCATTCAGTTATGGTGGGATAATCCTAAAATCTCTGTGCTTTAACAAAAGGTGCATTTTCTTATGCCCAGATTTCCTGTGTTGGGTGACTCTCCGGAGCATGGACTTCCATGTGGCAACTTGGTAGCCCAGGCTTTCAGAGCCTCCATCATCTTGTAGTTGTACCATCTGGAACCTGAAACTGTCTTAACCACGACTGCAAGGGGAATAGAGGAAGTTGAGGCTTGTGCCCTGCTAATCAAGTGCTGCAGGCTGAAAGTGAACCCATTACTCCTGCTCGTAGACCATTGGTCAGAAGTAGTCACATGGCCCTGCCCACTGAAAGGGGTGCCCAGAAAAGATGAGAACCAGATAGAGTGAAGACTAGTCCTGGCCACCACAGTCACTAAAGGAGTGGGTGATATTAGGGAAAAGAGATTTGGGAACAAGAGCTTGAGTTCACTATTTAAGGAGTAGAAAGATAAGATTCATTGAAGGAATTAGAGAAGAGAGATGTCAGGAACTTGCCCTCTGTAACTCACAGTCTGTGATTCGTAAAGTCTCCTAAATGATCACCTCTTCCCTGAACATTCTCATGATATGCTCCTTCATGATGGCCTCCTGCCTACCTCTACTAAAGGGAGAGGTCTCTTACCCTTCCTGGCCTCCTGTCCTTCCTCCCCATCTTGCTCATTCTACCTTAAGACTCATGTTTCTGGAATTCCCCAAGCTCCCCCTCCTGCCCTGTGGCCTTTGTACCAGGTACCTCTGTTGGGAATACTCTTCCTCTA